TTAGTACGAATGTACAATTTTTATGAAACTAACAGCTAGTGCCATAAGAGGTAGGCACAAGATGAAATGAAAACTAAATATGTAGAGGCGACATTGGACGCCACTATATTGGATGGGTCCCTCACTCTTCAAAACCTGATCGGAATCATCACTGAGTGAGCAACTATGCCTGTTTTTGTGTTTTGTAAAAATAGATTGTGGGAATATTATTGGCCTTTCTAGTCCAATGAATGCACTGGGGGTGACTGGTGACCCATCCAACATGGCGGCCCGCAGTTACAGCAACGCCGATAGAAAGCCCCAGCCCATGTCGCCTTTACGTTTATATGATCTGATTGCTATGCTTCTCATATTCATTTTCTGTTGTGGGAATCGATCAACATGATATCCAGACAAACAGGAGCTAGTGCAACCCCAAGCCGGATAGATAACTAAAGTAACTTTTTGACAGATTGTTTTTCTACCATTTTAAAGTGCATTAAAGATGCAAGTTAACAGATTCTGCTATTAGTGTAGAATAATCTAGTCCTGGTTTGAAGAGTCTGCGTCCGTGGTTCCCAACCTTTTTACTTGAGGACCCCTTTGTTTGTGTCCAAGGAAAGGTGAGCAGGATGAGGATCAAACCATTTCTGACTGTATTTTTTGAGGTTTACTGTATTTTGGGGGTGACGGTGGAGGAGTTAACCAAACGGTTGCAGGTTTGCGACCCACTCAGTCTGTCGCAGTTGTGTCCTTGGGCAAGACGCCTAACCCACCTAGCCTGCTGGTGGTGGTGGGAGGGATCAGTGGCACTTGTGCTCTGTAGCCTTGCAATCATCAGTATGCCCCAGGGCAGCTGTGGCTACAACGTAGCTCATCATCAGCTTGTGAATTTGTGTGTGAATGGGTGAATGACTGGTTAGATGTAAAGTGCTTTGGGGGGTTGTAGAACCCTGAGCCCTTTTTAGAAGACACACCATGCCGGTTAATCAGTGTGAATTATAAACGCACAGTGGTGGTATGGCGATGCGGGAGTTTTGCAGCATTCATGCCGCCACAAATGGTAGAAATATTCCCGCAACACTGGACTTGTGAATGTATATTACACCTTGACTCAAGAGAGGGTGGCGCCATGATCACGTGGTTACAACCGAGCTCCGACAGCAAACTATGCTGAAAATGAAAGTAAACACGGCAGTAAGTTTTGCTTTTTGAACTAAATCAGCTGAGACAGTACACTGGAGTGATGCAGCTCCAGGAGCTTCTCTCAGTTAGAACTGGAGTGATCAGATCACTGGACTATTCACAGGAACTGTGAAGGATAAGACACCTTTAAGAGTGGCTTGTCAAAAAAAATGTAATGAACACGGCTTCGGTCACAATACAAAGCAAGTTATGTCCAAGACAAATGGAAGTCTGTGGCAGCTCAGAAACCACCCCCATACCCCATTTTTACTGCCATAGTGTAATCTTTTGATCATTGCACCACATCGCAATCAAGTTCATGTTCACCTCTTGAATCACCGTGTGGTATGCTAGAGCTACCATCAGGGGCATGAAGAGACTGTAGCATGTCATGCGCTCTGCTGAGAAGTTCATTGGCTGCAAACTCCTCTCTATACAGCACATATAAAACCCTCTGATTCAGATTACTGCCACTGTCTGACCACTCAAAAACGACCTAAAGCTCCTTTGTTTCCGGCTCAGCGTTGCGGCAAAATGACGGCACTGTTTTCTAAAAGAGGCCCTAGAAGACCCTATACAGGCCATTTGTTTTAAAAAATATAACATTACAACCTATTGTATGTTTTTTTATGTTTTAATAAATAAATCTCAAACTTTAGGGACACTGGGATTTATTTTAGGGGTGCTTCAGCACCCCCCAAAACAGGCTAAAAATGTCTATGGTCTATATAAGGCCTATATTAAAGATTAACAGAAAATATATATTTTTTAATTTAAGTAACAAATATCTTTTCCTTCTGTTTATGTTTGGGAATAGTGACTTTTCACAGCTGGTCCAAAGTCACTAAGTTGATTCATCGTTATTAACATTGTTTTACGTAAAAATGGTCATAAATTAGATAAGCGTTCCAGGAGACCTCGAGTTGTCACGTTTAAAGCCAAGAAACTTTTATGCTTACGCGAATGACTGCGCACTAGCAGCCCGTCCACATTTCCATACTCACTCTTGTATAACCTTTTAGATAACAGCCGTCCGCTCCGAGTCTCTCTGAGCCAACCACCGCTTCATTCACCGGCATCTCCGCCGTAGTGATTCGCTCCCGGTACCCGTGGGTCTCCATGTGAAAAGCTGCGACACAGCCTTACATAAACTGACGGACAGCAGCGCAGACCAATCACAGCGTGGAGCGCCTGTTAGTGTTCCCGCCTTTAATAACGTTCACTGCACCGATTGGTCCAAACATCCTCGAGGGCGAGACTGGCGGCCGCGCCAGCCAATGAGATTCTCGTTTGTAGGAGGGGGCTCGGAAAGGGGCTTGTAATGAGGTCACTGCTTGCGTCGTAGATTCAGTGCAGTGTGTAGACGCCGGAGTCCGAGAAAACATTTTCTTAAAAGCTGCGTAAGACCACGACTGAGGAATTTGTCTGAGAGAGATCTAAAAGCGAGGCTTTCCCCCTCCACGGACACACCGGAAGTGATAGCGCGGATGATTTAGGTAAGGTTGGTGAAGTTTAACTTGTATGTGAGATATATAATGGACAGTGTTGTGTTCAAATAGGCAAAATTGAGCAATAACGCCCCTGGTTAGCCGCTTGTAAATAAAACCTAGGTGGCGTTTGTGACCTTGACGTGACATATGAGTGTGAGCTGAAATTTTGCAGGTGACAGGCGGGTAGATAAACTTAAACATAAGGAGAGTGAAAGCATCCCGCAGTAAACCGGTGGAGCTCGCTAAGTGACGGAGTTAACCGGGCGGCGGGACCGGGACGGTGATGTCAGAGTCACTTTAGGAGACAGGATGTGCTCTATGGGCTCAGTGTCTCATGAAAACTCCAGCATAACCCCTTACATAAAGTCTGCTGCTGCAGCACATGGCAGAAGTTCCCTTCCTGTTAGATAATTTCACATAATAGCTATACACCCCAAACAAACCACTGTAATTATTATTATTATTATGATTATTATTATTATTATTATTGTTATTATTATTATTATTATTATTATTATTATTATTATTATTATTATTATTATTATCTGTTTTCAATTCACCTGTGTCTTGTACTTGTTCATTCATTTACGGTATTTAACACAGTGAGGACCTCATGCAGTCAAAAACTGAAGGGTTTATTTGGTGATGTCTGACAGTAGAGATAGTGATGCACGTGTGGACATTTAAATATGGAGCCCAATAAAGGATTGAGTGTGGTAATAAACACAGAGCAAGGCAGCAGGCTGCTATGGCCAAATTCAGTTTGCTATTTCCCTGGAGAAGGTGGAGAAAAGATGCCTGAGTAAGAGCTGGCAAGGGCTACAACAAATTTAGATCTGTTTATCTTAATGTTGAAGTCAACAGAAGAGTTGTCATCTCTACACGTCTCCACCCACAGCAGCAGATCAAGAGATTCATAGGAAGATATTCCAGCTACTCCACAAATGAGCATGCTTAACTAGGTCATTTCCCACTAAGGTCAGAGTTTCATGCTTGAATTCTGAGTTTTAACCCTCTGGAGGCAGGCGTTGCAGATTTGCAATGTTAAAACCTACCTACCTGGTTACTCCACGTATTTCATGAGCATTTTTTTTTTTACTCAGAGAGGTACCCCTGAAGGACTTAGTTGTTCATCCTTTCGTCAAAACTTATTTTGAGCCTGAGAGGGTCATGTGAACAAATACATCACAAATAAAGCTGCTTTAATAATCACAAATTAAATTAGTTTTATTTCACTATATATTATTATTAAGGTTATAAGGGAATACTTTTGATAGTTGATGCAATTTAGTATAATCAGTATGTGTTTATAGAAATGCACAGATTCTGGTTGATGGTCGATATCATTTTCGGGTGTTTGTGCAGCTTTGACCTGCCTGTAATCGTTTTTGCCTTTGCTGATGCAGCTCAGACTTTCATCAATAATCTATTGCATTTTATTTATGATTTAATAAAAAATTATGATTCCTGATGAAAAAATGCACATGAAAGTTCAATTACTGGTGATGGAGAGTTAATGGATTGGGAAAATAGTCAG